TGCGTGTGCATTGTTGCAACATGCACGCGTGTACACGCTCCGCTGTATCTCTCCGCCGGCCATATTTACACGGGCTAATGAATTTCATACATAATTACCAGCTTGCCAGCGCGCAGCCGGCCCCGTGGCGTGGATCTACCCCTTTGGCCATCCTTTGCCCGGCTCGTGCAAGGATATTTGGAACGATTAGGTGACGATGTTGGCCTTCGTTAAGTCATGGGGCCGGGTGGTATTTAATGCGAGGTCAAACGAATTCCATTTAATTGTTAACTCTCCTCGGTTAGAAAGAGATATCCAATCCAAATTGAAATTGAAACACTTAGCCGTCTTAGAGAATTTTCTACGCATTCACCACGTTTCATTATTTAATATTATTTCATATTGTTTCACATCAATCATCAATCGTTGTTTTTTAAATTATTGGAACTTGGAGTATCTAAATTTTTATTGTTGAATCAATGCATTTACACGAATATGATTTAATAGTGCAAATTACTGCATATAATTCGTAGAATAAGCTAAACGATTGAGTTCATTTGTCTGAATCTAGAGTCAGTTCATTTGAATAATTAAAAATAAGAAACAAGAACAATCGATGGATTGTTTGTTCCCCTTTCAGATTCATATAAACTGTTGAAGTTTTATTATTGTTCACTGATGGAAAAAAGTCTCGCGGAAGAAATTGGTTAATTTGGAAGGAAATGATATCGATATGATATAAAAATTTTTTTATTTTTCTCTAATTACGATTTGCAACGATAGTTTAATTTATAAATATAATTTTCAATATTCGAGTATTTAAGATAATCGAAATAATTAATAATTTCAGCTTCCAGTCTCACGTGATTATCCTTTTTCACGAAAATGAAAATAATCTTTACGATTTTGAACATTCAAATTACATACAGCTTTTCTACCACTGGTGAGTCACAACTTCAATCATTGTACCCCATTATTGTACAAACGTGTACGCGATTACCCTCTTTTTCCACGATTCCATCTTCAATTCCGTACCTTCGTTTCATCCCCTCCCTTCCCTGGAGGGGAAAAGAATCAGGAGGGAAAAAAAAAAAAAAAGAAATACAGCCCCCCCTTTTTCGCAAAGTTTCTCCCTCCTTCCAGTTTCAAACTATTTTCAAAGCTTGACGCTCGTTCGAGCGGCGGGCACGATATTAAAATAATTTCATTCCAGATATCCGGCCAACTTTGTTAACCCAGATTACGTATTCTTTGTACGTCATAGAAAGCTGTAGCTTGCCATTTCGCTACGTACCGTGATGGGCGTGCACAGGGCGAAAAAGAGAAAGGGGCTGGGATGAGAGGGTG